GGCGCCCCCCACCAGCCACCCGCAACCAAATAGGAACGCGGCGGAGGGGGGGGCGCAGAGCGGATCGTACAATCAAGCCTCACTCTCAACAGGGTCAAGACTGGCGGACCGTGGAGAGGGTGGGTGGGATGAGAAACCTAGCAAGAAACAAGTGGAAAGTTCAGGTTCATAGAACGTGGAAGCAGTACGAGGCTTTATACAATTTCTGGGCGGCGGCGCGCAAGAGGGCAGCAGTGAGTCAGAGGGTCATCTTGGGCTTCCCTTGACTCCAGCAGGAAAGCCCCGCGTCCTTGCCGATACCTTCAGCCCTCGCTCAAAGCTGAAGAGAGGAGCGCCGTGCCGCGGAGGGCTGTTGCTCTTCCGCAAACGCAACAACAAGAATAGTGCGTGAAGTACACGTGGGCCCACATGCCACACATGTCAGTCAAAACTCGTTCGCTCTCAGGCCATAAACGAAAACAAACAACAGTCCGCCAACACAGCATCGAGGGGTCGAGGCGCCAAGTCCTTCTTCGCGTAACTGGGCTCAGATACCTCACGCGCTGTACGTACTGCTGTATGGAGCTGACGCTTTTCCTACCCCCGTCCTGCTTCCCGCGTGCTGCCGCCCGCTGCCGCTATCCAACTGCCGCCCGCACACAATGTCCGTAGTCCGGTGCTAAAAGTCATGCTGTTATTTCTTCATTTTCCGACGAAACGCTGAGACCACCAGCAACAACGTACGGTAGCCGAGAAAAGGCAGGCAGAGAACGTTGCGAGGCTGAATGACGCCCCGCACACGCCTCGCAAATGCAATAACTCCAAGCCCCGGACTGCGCCAGCCCCGCCGAGACCGCGGCAACGACTTGTGGCGCTCGCTCCTACGCCTGTCCCCTGGACGCCGGCCCCGTCCCTCACCTTCACCTTGGTGTCGACCTCTCTCTTCGCTTCTCCCTTCACGGAGGTGCCGCCGCTGCCCCCCCCGCCATGCTGAGCCTTCTTTTTCACCGTCGAGCCACCCGCTGCAAGCAAATGGGAAGGAATAACACGACCCACGATGTTGATGAAGACGAGGCACGAAGAGCGTGCGTTGACTACGAACAAGATCCCCCAAGCAACCCCAACCAAGCGTTGATCGATGAAGTATTATAGTGTGTGTCTTTTGTGTTTGCATCGACCGCGCCAGCCGGCCGACCAACGAAGAGAAGTCAGTCTCAGTGCGGTGGAAAACACAACATGTTTCCAGAGTCCACGATCTGGGAGCCTGTGACCGAGTGTCATGGGGGAGTCTACGCTGCTCTCCGGATAAAGGACAGACACAAAGAAACTGTATGTGTTTCGCTGTGGCTGCTATATATTACTTTGGATGCGCGTGCGTTTGGCATTGTTTTCATCGCCTTCCCTGCATTTGCTACCGACACTCTCGTTTCCAGTATTTCCACCACTAGTGTGAGTGTTCGTCCCATCAAATTCTGGCGCCGGTTTACAGACCTCTCGCCGTATAGCCGGGGTCACAAAACAAGACAACAAGAGGAATCTGCCATCAACCATCGTTGCCCAGGCAACAAGTTAGTTCTCACACAGGAGTTTTGTCCATTTTTTTTTTTTTGTTTTATTGCCCCACCTTTCCCCCTGCGGTGCCTGCCTTAGTTTTTATCGCGAGAAGCGCTCAGCCATCCCTTTCCCTCGTCGACCGTGAAGCCGAACGTAAGAAGTACCAACACTTCTTGATTGGAGTTGCGGTTGAAAAAAAAATGCGGTCGTTACAGCGGACTGGAACAACCCACGCCATCCCTCCTCCATTCTCCTAAGCCACAGAGGAGTTCTTCACCCTGCATATACTTGTAACCTGTATGCATGTATACATGCTGCATAGTCTACTGGATACGCTAATTTGGTGTAGAAGAAGGTGAAAGGACAGGCTGCACATCTCTATCAATATCAGGTACGTTGGTCTTGTGGGTACAATGACGTCTATGCACGAGTCTACCCGTTGTTACTACTGCTGTAAATCACCTTCCAGAGCAGCTGCAAGCGCAAAGCGTTGAATATACCAATAGGAATCGGAGCGAATCCGATGCACTCAGTCTCTTAGACACCGACTTCCAAAGGGCACCAGCACCTCCTCCTGATACTTTATAGAATACCACATGATGATACTGCTGGAGTAGGCCAGTCAAGTCGACAACATTGAGTTATCGGGGGGGGGACGGAGGAGATGTACAGAGATGACTGCTTAGCACTGGGAGGGTCATTCATGAGAAGATCATCCCGGCGGTAGAAGGGCTGACCCCCTCGCCCACACGTGTCCCCCATACTCGACACCTGTCGTTCCGTTGAAACCAACACACGTTGGCTGTACACAAAGCACACACTCGATGTCGCCCCAAATGCAGCCAAGGTGTACGCCGCTGTTGGTTGTGTTTCTTATTCGCGTTATTCTCTGTGTGCACACCGCCAATTCCCCCAACACACCTGACTTTTTGGGGGAGTCCTTTGCCATACTACGACGTGCTTGACGATCAACCTTCCCCGCGGGCACGAATATGACCAGTTGTCCCTCTTGCTTGTTGTCTCAGGCACGGAGAGACGGAAGCATAGACCACCATAGAGACACCGCACCACTCGCCCTGGAGAAAGACGGAGATGCGGGGGGGGGTACTGTGGAAGAATATCTTGGGGGGGGAGGGTTTCAGGGGCTCTGCTACGATGTTTGCTCGTGGTTTCTCCCTCTACCTCGCGATGCTGCTCTGCGCTTTGCCTCTGCTGCTTGTCTCTGGGCTCACATCTCTTTAATCCACACCCAACATGGACGGTGGAACCACATAGCAGGGACGAGAAGCAGCACCGAGGGCGACCCATCATGCCGAGCAGGCCTCATGAGGCAGCGGAAGGGTAAGATTCTTCACCCTATAACAACCTGCGAAAACCCTCACAACTCGCACAGCAGTGGTTTACCCCCCGTCTTGTTTTTCGGTAGGACTGCTGCCAACGGAGAGGAAGTTGTCTTCGAAAGAAATTCCGTTGCCTGCTTGCTACTGCTGCTTTGGGTGGGTATACATGAGACATGGTCGCTTTTGGCTGACTGCTGACGGGTACCATGTCTTGTGATGGGCAGAGTTATCACATCGCATCCAAACATGTGGAGGACAAAACGCGGCTTGTTGTCGTAGTTGTTGATGCCATAAAACGTGTCACTCCTCTCAATGGAAAAATATGCCAATTTCCTCTCCGGTGCCTCGCGCTGCTGTGTCGCTGGGATTGATCCATAGGAAACGTCGTGGTCCCTGCACTACAGCTGTCCCGATCCTGCGTACGTCTCTCGGCTTTTTTTATCTGGGTGCAGGGTCAATTGCATGTTCAACTCTCTCGTCGTCAACTTGAAATTGGGAGGAAGGGCGGCGGCATGCACTCCTCGGCACCCCTTCGTCTCGCCAACAAAAAACTAAATCTCACTGCTCTTTGCTGCTTTGCGGATGTCGAACAAACTTCCGTCACATGCATATGCACATGGTTACTCAAGAGAGTCACGGGCTTGGAGATGCGCGCGCGCGCGCGTGTGCTTGTGTGTGTTGCGTTCTGCAGCAGCCGCAAGTAGTGGCCACCGCCCCTCTCCTGGTCATTGAAGACCCTACAGTACCTCCCAACCGAACTTGACCGGCCAGGCTATCGCGTTCTACGTACACTAAACTTGCCAACAGGAAACGTAGCTGTTTGTCGGCAGCGACGACGATGTGGAGGATGCGCCGCAGCCCCGTGAAGAGCACGTTTCCTAGTATTTGTAAGATCAGATCCAGTAGCAGCAGGGGGCAGGGTCTTCCTTTCGGGAAGGGCGGCGGCAGGCGGCGGGTGCCGAGCGTTGGAACAATCAGGGGCATGGCGCGGGCGGCGGGAGCAAAGGGAGGGCTGGTCTGGCTGCTGCTGCGGCTGCTGCTGGTCGGCCGCAGCGTGTTGGGTGAGAGGCAGCAGCAGCAGCAGCATAAAACCTTCTCTCAAGAAGACTGCTGCATGTAACTTAGAAATACAAACGCGAGATACACGCCCGCTCTGATTCGCCGCCGGGTGGAAATCTCAGTGCTAGCGTGCGCCCTTACATAGCGGAGCGGGGCCGTACCAAAAAAAGTGCCCGACCCTGGACTAATTTATAATTTCTGCTCTTGACGGCGGACAGAGAGTTGTTGGGGGGAGAAGTTTGGGTACCGCTGTACTCCTCGAGTAACGTACAAGACGTATATTGTAGCTCGTTTTTTTTTTTTCGAATGGTTGACAGGTCGGGTCCGCCGACCCGCGCAGCTTATTTTGTTGTCTCCGTGAATGTAGAGAACGGAACGGTTTCTTATTGTTAAGACAACAACAACAACACCATGAATTCAGCACCGGTGGGGAGGGCATGGATGAGCTGGTATTGATGCCCCCACGCATCGGCAAGAATATCCTTTGCATTTGTAGGTTGTAAATGCACACGTTTTGGGAGCACAAAGTCGCCTATCGCCTACTATAGTGCGACTTGTGTCTCCAAGGCTCAACCTATACATGGAACTACTGCTGTAGTGCTGCTATATACTATACTCTGCACGGGAAGAGATTTTGGCGTGTCCCCGCCTTCTTGGTATCTTTCAGTGTCAGAAATAAAGTGTGCAAGTACCTGTACTTGTACGTTGTCGGGGTTTTTTGTTTTTTTGTTCCTCGGCAGTGACGGCGATCCCAATCGCAGCTTCAAGCGAGACGCTACCACCGGTGACCCCCGCCGTTGCCAGCGGCGGTGCCGTCTCCGTCGGCTCTTCCCCGCCACGAAACCCGAACTCTTCGAGCATTCGAGGAGGAGCACAAGGGCCGAGGCAATCGGGAATTCTTCGAGATGCGTTAGCCCGCGGAGAACGGCGCGGAGAACTGCGCGAGAGAGGAGCGGACCACGGCTTGCTTCCCGCTCCCGCGCCACCACCACTCTCCGAGAGAGGAGGCGGGGGCGGCGGTAGAGACGTGAGTTTGGGCGGGACTCGAGGACAGTATAGTACAGGTGTAGTAAGCGGCTCGGGAGCGATGGGCGGCATAGAGGAGCTAAAAGAGCGGCTGGAAGTTTTCGGGCTCCAAAGGAGAGCGACAGCGACCGCGGCTGCGGTAGGGTGGGTCGAGCTGGCATCGTACCTCGCGAAACAGCTCGGGAGCGACCCGGCGGCGACAGCGTCGATCGTGGAGGGTGCGCGAGGAGAAGCAGCGGGGTGGGCAGACGGTGGGGTGATCGGTGATGATCAAGGGAGAGGGGAAGAGGGCCGAAAAGGGGAGCGACATCGGAGACATGCACAACTACGCGGCAATTCCCCTTCCGCTTCACCACCACCGCCGCCGCCGCCACCGCTACCACCACCACCACCACCACCACGTCTGGTGCTCTCGCGCGGTGTATTCGGCACCAGCGTTAGAGCTGAGCCGGACACGAGGGCAACGATGGGAAATGTAAAGGAGGGGGTACACGGACGAGGAGGGGCAGGGGGGCTACTCAAAGAACAGCAGGAAGAGGAGGAGGAGGAGTGGGCAGGAGGATACGGTCAAGAAGGCCGTGCGGGCGACGGGACGGAGCAAATCGGAGTTGCTACGAGAGGAAACAGCGTTTTCGACGCCGGTGTGTCGACAGTGGGCACTCCGAGGCGGGGAGCGATACCGGCGGAGGAGGCTGTGACAGAAGGCAGTGGCCAACAGCAGCTGCAGCAGCAGCAGCAGCAATTGGGGGAGATGGCTCACGGAGAACACGTAGAGTTATCATCCTCCTACTGGGTGGGCGAGGGAAGCTACGCTTATCCGAGGGGTTCTGCTGGAATCCGCGCGATCGAAGGCAGGGCAGAGGAAACCCAGAGGGGAGCGTGGATACGCGCGAAGCACAAGCTGGAGGCGCAGGAGGAGCTGCAGCAGCAGCTGGGGCTTCCGAGACACGGCAGAGCACTTGCGGAGGAACCAAGGACGTTTCCCGGCGGGCTGGAGCTCAGTTGCACGGTAACCGTGCCCGGCTCGGGCGTGGAAGGCGGCGGGTCGGTGTTCGACGGACCGCTCGAGGCGAGTTTGTCTGCGGTTGGTTGCCTGTGTGCTGTTGCCGGTACTGCTGCTGCTGCTGCTGCTGCTGCTGCTGCTGCTGCTGCTGCTGTCGTGTGCTGTGTGGATCTCGGAGTCGTTGCTGTGCCGGCTTGTGTGTTATGCTCGCTTGAGCTCTATTTAGCGTGCGGGTTTTACGCAACTTTCCCCGCAAGCAAGAAGCCAGCTTTGATGTCCGTTGGTGGTATGTATGGCGAGCCTAGAAGTTTTCGTACCTAGCGAATGCGAAATATTGAAATATTCCGCTGCTGTGGTGGTGTGTAGGATGGGCTTCCAAGCGCTTGCGTACAGCGAGTATTGCGTTTGATGATGTGGACAGACACGTGAATGTCGATGTAGATAGACCTGCTAAGGTTCGGGAAGGCATCGTGTCAGCACATGCTTTACGTGCGCGTCGGTTTGCATCTCGTAAGGGTCGATCCACTCCGTTTCTCTCTTCTGGTTGGTGAAAACTTTTTGTCCTAGCCGGTGAGTTATATTTCCATCGCTCACCATCACGTCCACGTTACTGCTGTCGTGTCACGTTGGTCGTTGGTGTGTTTGCAGGGTGATGTGCTGGTGCTTGGGGACGTAGCAAGCGTGTCCTGGTCCCTCGACCTGTTCGAGACGGGGACCGCAGCAGCCGGCGACCCTTCCGGACCGTACTCAGCCTCGAGCTTGATAACTGACCTGGATGTCGGACAGGTAAATGAAAAGGCAAAGGGCTGCATTATTTTTGCCCGGATTTTTTTTCCCTCTGTTCTCGTGTGAATTTATTATGGCGGCCTGTGGTTCTCCACGATTCATTGCGCTCGTCGTCAAGGAAGTGGTGCTCCTTCTCCGTGAAAGGGGCGTGTTTTTGGTCGCGTAGAGCGCGTAGGACACAGCTGCCAGGGGGTGTCTTTGGATAGTCAATTACCTCGCTTTGCCAAGCACAGATGCATCGTTATCGTTACCGGCGCGTGTTAGGTCGGTACGGAGTGAGGCAGCCGGGTGAGCCTTTCAACATGCAGAAAGGCGGGGCCGCTTAGAAAATGCACAGAATTTACCTCCCTCGTTTGTAACCAGCGAGATTGGTTGATTGAGACACCTTGTGCTACTGCTTTTGTTCTCCCTGGCAGCACTGCTGCTGCGGCTGCGGCTGCGGCTGGACGGAGACGCGTTTTCGTGGCAGCAGCCCTAGCAGCTCTTGTTCAATGATGCGTGGTCTTTTATTTGTGTTGCTGGTTTCTTGGCCGCTTTCCGCCGGTTTGTCTTACGAACGCTGCCGTATCGCTGTGTCCGCCAGGTGAATATCACCCTCTTCAACGCCGACGTCGAAGTGCAGACGTTCGTCAACACCGACAACACCGGAACTTACAGGTAATTTACACGCGCACCGGCAGATTGCAGACAGGACATGCTTCTCTCCACCAAAGAAAACAAGAACGAGCCTAGGCCTAGAATATGCGCGTTTGTGCGTGCAACATGCTTAGCAGCAAGTAGCAAGGTACTACAGCAGGTACACATTTCTAGTTCCATTTTTGGGGCAGGTGTGTAATGATCATGCCGCCTACGCGAGATAAGGGTTAGCTATCTCGGACCACTGGAAGGTGGGCGTTGATCCTTCATCCTCCTGTGTACACGGGCGATTTCTCCGGAGCAGCGGTAGTGGGTAGTGGGGACCGTGACGTGACGGTATGCACACGGGTCAGACCGACAACTCTCTGGGAAGAGGCGACGGATCTCTGTTTTAGCAACAGAGGGGGAAAGTAGAAGTGACAGGAAGAGGGGCGAGTGGGTTGAGCACAGCACAGCACAGCACAGCGCCAACGCGGAACCACTCTTACGGGGCGCGGGCACACGCTCTGAGCTGGTGGCCTGCTGACGTGACGAAAGACGGCTGACACGGCAGCTGACCGACCGAGTAGCTGCCGTGGGCATCTGACACGGCATGTGGTTGAAGTCCGTCAAGCACCGGGGTATCTGGGAACACACGCATACGGCAGTGACATACATGCGTACGCGCTCGCAGGAGTGTTGATCCGCAGAGCAGCGCGGAGGAACAGTTGGACAAGGTTTGCCGGGAACTGCGTAAGTAGCTTCATTAAGTAGCTTCATTTGGGGTTATCGTTGTGTGTCGTTGTGGTTTGCCGCTGCTGTGTGAGGTAACCGCGCTCCTCCTGTTCGGTGTAGCCTCCGTCCAGAGTATGTACCGTAGGCGACATGACATGACACAAGACACCACACCCGCTGGAGCGATTTGCAAAGCCCGGCCTCTCCACGACGAAGAGGATGCCGAACAATCGGAAAGATCTCGACGAGGACAGCAGTTCCAGCGCCGCCATTTTCGACGCCGCCGCTCTTTCTACTATTCAAGCTTTGGGGGGGTGGTATACTATGTCATGTCACCTCCGGTGGCACTGACGCTGGGGTAGAAGGGGGCACTGGGTCGGCGGCGAGATAGGTTATTCAAGCGGCATGTGGAACAGCAAGAGCACGTCGTTGCAGAGACAAAGAGTTTTGGTAATTTTTTCGTCTACGATGCGATATTTGTCCCGCCGACAGCTCACTGCCATGGCGTTGGAAGATGCGCTTGCATTCCGCGCCCTGTCTCTGACGGGCAACCGGTTCACCATATCGTGAGTTTTGTGCGTTCGCTTCAATTTGACGCTCGCGGGGCACCGTGTGCTTGGAAACTCCCTTCTCGTTGTTGCAGGTGGACGATTGCGGACGACCTAGAACAATCCCGCTTCTACCGGCTGGCTGTTTGGGACACGGCGACGCGCATCTGTGGCATCAGCTACGAATTCGCGATTTCTGGGGAATTGGTACGTATTCGCGATTTCGTACGTGGGCACATAGAACACACGTTGCGTGTCTGTTTTTTTTTTGTCAAGTTGATTTTTCTGAAACCGTCTTCGTACCTCCGTTGTTTGTTTTTGTTTGTTTGTTTGCTGCTTGTCTTGGCTTGTCTCGGCTGTCTGCGGTTAGTTATTCAACGCTTTCCCATCAGCGGTGCCCTTGGGTGGGCGTGATGGATCACCCTTGGCGTGTGTTGAAGACTCGGTTGAGCGGCGCTAACGTACTTTATTCTTCCTTAATTCGCGATTTCGTCCGCGTGCCAGTCTTTCCGCCGTCACCGCGCACGTGCTACTGCATCGCCCACGAATGTATCCCCCTTGCTTTCTTTGTTGCTCCCATTTTTTGCACACTTCTTTTTTCGAACACACGGGCCTTACCACCTGCGTCGGCCTCGCTTGGCTTCTTTCACCCCTCAGTCCATCACCGTCACAGAGTTCGAGGGCTACAACGAGGGGACGGTTGACATCAGTCCCCTGCGTAGGGGCGACGCCGCCTCCTCGGAGGGTGGGGGGCAGATATACTCTTGCGGGGGCTCCGTGGGGGTTGGGTGGAACTTCACCGGACTGCTGGAAGAGGTCAACGTTCGGGTAAGTCGCCGTGTATTTTTTCATTCGTTTTTCTATTGCTTGATTTGTTGTTGTGTCGGGAAGGACAGGCAGGACATGGGATTCGTTTGTTTGTTGTTTTTTTCAGCCCGTTGGTCTTCGGCGTCGAAACAAATGCCTCCAACAATGAATCAACTTTTGGAGCGTTTCTGAAGTGCCTGGCTGGCGCACGCGCAGCAGAAACAACCCAGGAATGAGAGCAGACAAAGATCCTTTCACAGCAGCACCATCGCCACCTCTCCCGTTTTCTCGCATCCCTTCCCCCCCCGCCCCCCGGTCCGGCAGGTTTGCCAAGAGCCCGCTTCTTCCGGCACCTTGGCTGGCTTAGAGGATGAGGACTTGCTAAACACCGGCTCCCCGGTCACCGAGGATGGAGAGGTGAGGAAGCCGATCCACCCACCTATCCATCGAATCCATCAACCCATGGGATTGCCGCAAGGGCTGCCAGGACGGCACGCGGCGTGTCTTGGCAATCAGTTTGGGCGAACGTCGCCGTCGTGTGTGTACGAGCTGCCAACCAGCCAGTAATAGTAATAGTACACCAAGCGGTTGTTCTGGCAACATGCCGATCGATGGATTCATCATCGCGAGGGCCGTTGGGATGTGGCGCCTGTCTTGGCAGTCAATTTGGTCGTCGTCGTCGTCGTCGTGTATGGGATCTGGCAACCACACAGTAAACAAACAGTCTAGGGGATCGATCTGGAAAACATGGATAGGAGACGGAAGGGAGGGCAGGCCGCTTTGTTTAGCTCCCGTATCGATACGTTTCGTGACGCCGCTGTCGTACGTATCTGATATGTCTGCGCGCGAAAGCCGCTCGCCGTTCTCGTCCATCCGTCGATTTGGTGCGCTCTTGCCGCCCATGCGACACGTAGAGCAGCAGAAGTGCATGCAGCACGTGTTTTCGGACACTCAATCAGGCGGTCATATGCATACATCGCCCCGAAACGTCAACATCAACACTCGTCTTTACCCAAGCGTCGGTTGGGGGTCACTTTCGACGGTCTATACTTTTTTTTGTCGCTCGGTGTTTCGTGGCCGAATTTGTTTTTGTTTTTTTTCAACGAAGACCCCTCTTTCTCCTTAACTTGACTTAATTCATGATATTTTTCTATTGCAATTTACTCCTGGCTTCATATGAAGATTTTTCTCACAGCAGATAAATCAATCTCTTGCTCTTTTTTTTTTTCTTGTAATTTTTCTCATTTTTCGGGTCCTTTTTTGTTTTGTTCTTTCTGGTGTCGTTCGACCGTGTCTTCCTTCCGCTGCTGCTGTAGTTTTTCATCTGCCTGGACCCCGTTAGCGGCGACGTCCTCGCGAACTCCTCCTTCCTCAACGCCTCGCTCACCGCCACGGCCGCGACCACCTCCGACGGCACCTGCGGCGTCTGGGGCGAGGGCTTCTACGCCAAGGTGACCTGGGTGGACAGCGGCGACGCAGACGTGTTCGGCTTGTCCAACGACCCGGACGCGGGGGGAGTCTCCGTCCCCGTGCTTGGAGGCGTGTTTCTCAAGCCCAACGACTCGACCCCCATGTCGATCGCAGAATCTCAGGTGCAAGCACCTTTAGTTTTTTTTTTTTTCTCTAGTGTGCGTGTCGGGAACACTGCAACTTTTATTTTTTAGCTCGTATGTATGACGAGCAGAGAGGGGCAGGCTGAGGAGAGTTTTGTAT